GAACTTTATTATCTATTTAATAAGAAAACATATCTGTTGGGCAAGGGTAGTATCTGTCACAATTAAACTGGTTATATCAGGAATTGAGGTCCCTCGAGACTTTTTTTTTTTTGATAACTCAGGTATCCCCACAGCCGAAGCATGGGACCACTCTCATTACAATCCACTTTTAATGCTCTTAGAGCATCTCCAACGGTTAACCAAAATTTTCATCAAATCTGAGCAAAAAAAACCCAAGTTCCTCGATTTGATATCAGTCGCTAGGGCTGAGCAATGAATTCGTGAAATCTGTAATTCGATTCAATCCAGTCCAATCCAGTAGGTTTGGATTGGTTTTTTGAATCCGTGATTCGATTCTGGATTGAAAAATTAGAAATCCGTAGTTCACAGATTGATTTCGGATTGAACCCCACGGTTCCGAATTAAAACCAATCTGGACCGTATATAAATAGTCTATATTTTTATTATACACTCTCCTGCATAGTATCTTCTCCTATTTCATATAAAACTTAAATCCAAACCTAAACTTGCATAGTATCTTCTTGTATTACTTTTGTTTGCTAGTTTTTAGTATTAATTTGTAATGGTTTAAATACTTATGGTGGAACTAGTTTTCTTATGATTATTTAAATTCTAGAACAGTTTGTCACTATTATGAAAAGACATGTTGCTATTGTAAAACTAATATGGTACTATATTTATATATTTATAAAATTAAAGTGTTATATATATTTTTTGTTATTTAATTACGTAAATTCGTGATCCTAAACCGATCCAATCCGTGTTTAAATGGATTGGTTCGGATTGGTTCCATGATTTAAACGGATTGGATTGGTTCTAATTTTTCAAGATCCGTAGATAGCGGATTGGTCCTGATTTTAGGGGTGAGCATGGTCCGGATTAGAGTAAAACCAAGATAACAGAAATCATAAGGCATTTTTAGCTGTACTAGAAGAAGAGGGAATGAAGAATTGTCTTGGTAACTCTCTCTCTCTCTTCCAAATTTGTGTTCCTTGTTTTAGGGTTTATATATATATATATATATATACTAGAGATGGAGAAGAGAAAAACTAAGAAGTTATCAAAATTTGTAATTGAAATCAAAATCTAACGTTAGTTATATATAAGTAATTGCACAGGAATAATTTAGGAATAAAACCAAGAAATGTTTGTGCTTTTATATAATAGAAGATTATATATATATATATATATGTGTGTGTGTGTAATTGTAATTTGTTGGTTATATGAACTCTGGCACATTTCACAACCCAACAAGAATTGAACCAGATTGAAGTAGTGTGCATGTGCCGGTTGACTGGTGGGCTCACCTCTAACGTCCTTGCACATTAAATTGGTGAAATCTCGCCCATCCTTAATTTAATGAAATTTTTGCTCAATTTTCAGTTTAATATCAGTTTGGTGAAACCATTAGAGAGGAAAAATGTGACTTTTTTCATCAAATTCAAATGATACTAAATTAGATGCAACGTTGGAGATGGTCTTAAACATTTTTATAGTGAAATTCACCTTTTATTGAGTGGTAATCCTACCTTTAATACATACATGATATTATCACCGTTACACTTAAATTTTATTGAAGAACATGACAGAATAGTAGAGGAGTAATATTAAAAATTTTAAAACTTTTAAGGCTAGTTTGGCAAGTGTAGAAAATGTTAAAAAGTCAAAAAGTTACTTAAAAAAGTTAACACTATTCACCAAAATAAAAAAATAAAAAAATTAATATACAAATATTAAATACAAATCAACTTTTTGCCCATCAATGTACTGACGTCAGGCCAGCTTCAGTGAAAGGAAAAAAAATAAAAAATTGCATGTGTATCGTTAAGTTGGATGGTAAAGTTAGGCCCGTGAAGGCCCACCATGGGTCCCGTTTTGATAATCCAAACCGTTCAAGATGTAGAACTCATCTAGTACTATATGTTCTTAAAAAATCACATCTATCGGATATCGCTAACTACATGATCAAATTAGTTTTGTATAAAAATTGGATGGTGTTATAGTTAACAGTTGACAAAAAAAACTAACACGATCAGATAACTATCGATATCCAATTAACGTGATTTTTTAAAAACATATAGTACTCGACGAATTCTACACATTAAACGGTTCCGATTAGAAAAATGGGACCCGTGGTGGGTCCCTATGAGCCGAACAACACTGTCCAATCAAAGCCTGAAAAGGAGGCAATCTTTTCCCATGTATTCACCAAGCCGCTGCACCGTCAATCCGTACGGCGTACTACACTATCTTCTCTTACACACTTCTTTATACAATTTTTTAATACATATTTTTTCATAAAAAGTCAAAAAATTAATCCAAATATTTATTTTTTTTTCAACTTTTTAATTCAAAAAGATAAAAAGTACATTTATTTAGAACAATCCAAATAATCCCTTATTAAATATTTTATATAAAGAAAATTTATATAATGTGAGTTTCATATAAATCTTATAACTATATGAAATGTTTAGGGTTGGTTTGGGATATTCTAAAAAAATATATTTTTTGACTTATTGACTTATATAGGTTGAATTTGATGTGATGTATTAGAGAGGTGATGTAATTTAAATAAAATAATATAATTTAAATAAAATAATGACTTTTTAATTTTTTATATTATTTAATTTATGTCAAACCAATCCTTAATAAAATTTTGTAAAGTCTCTAATATTTTTGATTTTTGATAGCGCCGTTACGTTAGTTCAGTCTCTGAAGTCATCGTGAATGCAAACCCTGTTCCCAAGAGAGAGAAAAAGAAAAAGAAAAAAAAGAAAAGAAAAAGAGACAAGCCAGCTGGAGCCAGCTGTCAGTACTATCTGTCTCTATAAATATGAAGAACAAAGCATTCGATGATCGATCAATCAGGGAAGGGTCAGTTCGCAGAAGTACAGTCCGTACAGTTGCTCTTTTAATATAGTAAGTACTTTTGAATTTGATTAAAAAAAAAAAAGTACTTTTGAATGATGATGCTATTGTCTTTAATAATTAAAAAAACTTGAGTACTGCCAACTGGAAATTATGTCCACGTCATCACAATTCCTTCCCTTTCATGGATCGACCTCAGTACCGGCAAGTTAAATGTCATTTTTAATTTTTTTTTTAAAATTCTTTTTAAAGAAATATATAAAAAAAATAGAAAAATAATTTTACTTAAAAGATTTAAAAAATCAATTAATTAATTTTTAGTCTAGCTTACAAGCCTTGAGATCTCAAATTTTTATTTAAGTGATGATTGAGATCCCTAACTCTATAAGACCTTTACAAATCTGAACTATTCATAATATAGACCACACATAATATGAAGGGCCAGGATCACTTTGGGGGTGTGAAGGTCATCCCCAAAAGGGGTCCCAAACATTTCCTTTCTTATTTTTGAGGTTAGTCATTTAGGTGATAGCACATATGGTTGGTAAGACGAACTTTTTAAGTTTGGATGAATCCTACTCAATGTTAGGCTTGAATCCATGCCTGTGTGCAAGTTCGTGACTCACCGCTACATAATCAAATGATTTTGTTATGTAACACCACTTAAGGGTAATCAGGGCGGAGGGATGTGAGGGCCAGGGGTTCATGTGCCTTCCCTGACTTTTCGATTTTTTTTTTTTTTTTTTGCTTATACGCAATTCCTTATATACATAATACACAGCGGCCCACTTTGGCAGCCCACACACTAACACATGCTTAATTAAATTTTTTTTTTTTGATTCATGGAAAAATGCTGTCGGCAAATTTTTTTTTTTCTTCTTCTTTACCTCTTTGTTGCTTTGCAATTTACCAACTCAATATTAACCAGATTAGGATCACACAAAACAGATTTGGGATCACACTACAAGCTTGATATCTTCTCTTCATTGTTTACAGGCAACTTTATTTACGATTTTTTATTTTTAAATAAAAATTATGAGTATCAATTTATAGTCATTTGTTAAGTCTTGATTTGTAAAAAAAATTGATTTGTTATTATTTATGTTAAAATAAGGTGATTTATATTAAAATTAGGGATTTTGGTTTGTTATTGTTTGTGCTAAAATTAGGGATTTTATTTGTGCTAAAATTAAAAATATTAATTTCCAATGATTAATATTTAAATTAGAGATTTTGATTTGTTATAATTTGTGCTAAAATTAAAAATTTTGATTTGTTGTGATTTGTGCTAAATTTAAATTTTTTGATTGTATTAAAATTGGAGATTTTGATTTGTGGGGGTTTGTGATTTTGATTATGAATTTTATTTTGATTTTTAGTTTTTTCAAACAGCCATGGAGAAATATTTCAAAAGAAAATCAAAGTTGGAATCATCTCTTCCTCAAGAAAAAGATGATAATTATTCTTCTGCAAAATAAAGTCGCATAGAAATCGACCTAGTAGACCTTCCTGCAGATCCAGGACTACGACCTTGGATTATGGACTATGATGCTAATGATCGAGACCAAATTCATAGAGCATATCTACAAAAAGGTCATTGTCAACCTCGTGATCATAATTTTCCATAAAAATCATTTGGACAAAAACTTCGACGATTTAATCAGGCTTGGTTTAGTGAACTTCCTAATTGGTTGGAGTATAGCGTAGCAAAAGATGCAGCATTTTGTTTATGTTATTATCTTTTCAAACCCGATATTGGAGATCAAGTTGGTGGTGATTTTTTTGTTGGTGAAGGTTTCTCAAATTGGAAGAAAAAAAGAAAAAATTCAGACTTATGTTGGAGGTCCCAATAGTGCTCATAATCAAGCTTCAAGTAAATGTCAAGACTTGTTAAACCAAAATCAACATATTCAAATGATTTTTTTCAAACAATTTGATCAAACTCGAATTGAGTATCGAACCCGTTTGAATGCGTCAGTTGATTGTGTCAAATTTCTTTTAAGGCAAGGACTTGCGTTTCGTGGTCATGATGAATCTGAAAATTCAACTAATCAAGGAAATTTTCTTGAACTTCTTAATTTTCTTGTTGATATCATAATGAAGATGTCAAAATGGTTGCATTGAGCAATGCTCCACAAAATCTCAAGTTGACATCTCGTGATATTCAAAAAGATATTCTAAATGTGGCCGCATTTGAAACTATCAATGTGATTATTAGAGATCTTGGTGATGCACTTTTTTCTATTTTGATTGATGAAGCTCGTGACATATCAATCAAGGAGCAAATGGAAATTGTAATACGATATGTTGACAAAAAAGACCAAGTGATTGAGCGCTTTTTGGGTATTGAGCATGTTGCTAATACGAATGCTCTCTCACTCAAACAAGCTGTGGAAAATTTATTCTCTAGACTTGGATTGAGTATTTTCAGATTGCGGGGTTAAGGATATGATGGGGCTAGTAATATACAAGGTGAGTTCAATGGTCTTAAAACGCTTATACTGAAAGAGAATCCTTGTGCATATTATGTTTATTGTTTTGCTCATCAATTGCAATTAGCACTTGTAGCCGTGGCAAAGAATCATGATCAAATTGCTTTACTTTTCACTTTGGTTTCTAATGTGGTGAATGTTGTTGGAGCATCATGTAAACGCCGAGATATTGTTAGGGAGAAGCAAGCTGTAAAAGTTGCTGAAACACTTAGTACTGGAGAGCTATCTAGTGGGCAAGGCTTAAATCAAGAAACTAATCTTAAACGTACTGGTGATACACGTTGGAGTTCACACTATGATACTTTAGTCAGCTTGGCTGGTATGTTTTCAACAGTGATTGATGTGCTTGAAATGATTTCGGAGGATGGTTCAAATTCAAAACAACGAGCAGAAGCAAATGTATTGTTGGACTCAATTCAATTATTTGAGTTTGTATTCAACCTTCATTTGATGAAAACAGTATTGGCTATTACAAGTGAGTTATCGCAAGCACTACAAAGAAAAGATCAAGATATTGTTAATACCATGAATTTAGTTCAAATTTCTAAAGTACAGCTCCAAAAGATGAGGGAGAGTGGGTGGACATCTTTACTTGATGATATTTTGTCTTTTTGTGAAAAGCATGAAATTGTTGTTCCTCAAATGGATGATATGTTTGTAGCTCGAGGGAGAAAAAGACGCAATGCTCAAGAAATTACAAACTTACATTACTATTGCACTGAGTTATTCTACACTGTTTTGGATATGCAAATTCAAGAACTAAATGCTCATTTCACTAAGTCGAACACTGAGTTGTTACTTTGTGTGGCATGTTTGAATCCATCTAACTCTTTCTCTAGTTTTGACAAGAAAAAGTTAATTCATCTTGCCGAATTTTATCCCAAAGAATTTTCTTCAGTGGAGCTCATGATACTTAACTTGATACATATATTATTGACATGCTATCCAGTAGTGAGTTATCAAGGTTGAATGGAATTGTCGATCTTGCTAAGAAAATGGTGGAGACTGGAAGAGACAAAATATATCCATTGGTGTATTTGCTCTTGACTTTAACATTAATCTTGCCTGTTGCAACTGCTACTGTTGAGAGGGTATTTTCAGCTATGAATATTGTGAAGAATCGGTTGCGGAACCGAATGGGTGATGAATGGATGAATGATAGCTTGGCTGTCTACATTGAGAGAGATTTTTGATGGCATTGACAATGATACTATCATAGAAAGATTTCAAAAGATGAAAACTCGTCAGGGTAAATTGTAAAAGTTTAAAATTAAATTATTTTTGTAATGAATATTAATTTTTAATATTTACTATTAGCTTGAAAAATTATTATTATGTTATTGTTATTGATTGAGGAAGAAAAATTCTGAGATTATAACTAATGGGTGCCCCCTACATTAAATTCCTAACTCTGTCACTGAGGGTAACCTCTGGGCCTCGACTCCTTAGGGTCTAGCCTAGAAGTCATCCCTATGTGATTAGGCCTTTCGACCTAAACACGTATTTATTTATTTAAAGTAAATTCTAAATACACCATATGAGGTTTGTTTAAAATATAAACTATTTTTTGTAATTTGAAAATTTACAAATATTTTCTTGACAGAATTTTTAATTTAACAGAATTAATTAAAAAGTGAAATTCATAATTGTTTCTTATATAGTAATAAAATTATTTAAATTATTAATTAAAATACATTTTGATATCATTAAATACTATTAATTGACTTGATGGTTTATTAATAAAAATGGTCATTTATTATGAAATTAAAAATTTCAAAGGATGAGATGTAATTTTCTAAACAAAAAAAAAAAAAATAATTTACATGTTTTTTTAATTTGTTAAAACAACCAAATTGTGTGCTCATTTAGGAGCTCCATCTTATCTTATCCTCTATATTTCATTTTGTGAGTTTATTGTAGGTGAGTAATACTAAGGATTCCAAATGTTTTATCAACATTTTTACCAAATGTTTGAGATGGGTGTGGGATCCACATGTGGGTCCCACATCCATGTAAGACATTTGATAAAAATATTAGTAAAATACTGGGATCCTTAACATTTTTGATTTTAGGTCTGTAATGATGGTATGAATCATTTTTTTTCCCGTAATTTTAATTGAAAATTGTTGTGTAAAAAACTTGTTTAATCTAATATTGGTGAATAAATGTACAAATTGAATTTTATTTTATAAAACAAATAGTTTAAGTTTAAATTTACAATTGTCATCAATTTAAAAAATAAAGTATAATCTGTTCATGTCTTTAGTAATGTTTGGTGAAATTGATGTTTCACGAAACTCATCTTTATTGTTGGATCTATTAGATGAACAATTTGAATTATCGTTATGAGTCGAAGTGAGGCCCACATAATAGAGTATAGAGGGTTACGGAGGAGCCATTACCTCATTTGTGAGTCCGATTCTCTACAATTATTTTTCTTAAACTAATTTTAGAGTAATTTTTAGATGATTGAGATTTAATTTTACAAAAGTTAAGAGTACAATAATCAATTGACATTCCAATTGTCAAACCATAGACTTACCACTTAAAAATCACTTTACAAAGAATCACTATAGAGGATCCTGACTCTGAGCATGGATCCTTTAGAGTAGTTTTTTTTAAATTAAACTTAAAATAATGTGTTGTATGGTTAAGATATAGGCCTTATTTAGAAATTGACTTTTTAATACTTTATAACTTTGTTAACTAAAGAAAAAAGTTATGTTTGGAAATGACTTTTGTTAATTGTATGAAAAAACATGAATGATGAGTGTGTATGATTTGATTTTTTTTGGTAGACCTTTGTCTTTTTGCTTTTTTAATAAGTTTTTGGGATTGAATTTTTTAGTGATTTTTTTATTGTCATTTTTTTCCCCTCTTTAGTTCGATTCTACTTAACTAGATGAACCGAAAAAGTAAAAAACAATTGGCTTTTCAATGTTTTAAACTATCTTATTTTTATTTTTAGATTTGTTTATACAAGATGGATTTGAAATTTTTGACATAATTTAAAAAAAAAATTATTAAAGAAAAAAAAAATGTTAAAAAATATTAATTCTTTTAACTGCATGCCAAACACCCCACTAGTAGCTTTTTAACTTTTAGTTTTTTTAAAAAAAAAAATTATTCATGGTTTTTTTTTTTGTCCGAAAAACTAATGTTTAGGTGTAACAAATCGCTTTAAGATCTTCAACATTACAATTTGTCCTAATTTATAATGCAAGTTGGTGGGTGGGATTACTTTGGCACGAACACTAAACTAATTTTTTTAATTTATTTTATTTTGATATATTGTGATTGAGATAGAATTACCAAATTAAAATTAGACCTAAAGTATATTGATCAAATTATTCAAATTGAAATAAGAAGAATCTAAAGTAAAAATTTAGTCAAAATTTAAGGGTAAACAAATTTAATTTATGCCCATAAAATAGAGTGGTTATTGGGTGCTCTTGGAATACAATCATGTGGTACTCCAAGGTGTTATAATTGGTGGAGAACGTAAGACCCATGATTTTGTGCCTGATGAATGAGAAACATGAGGGAGCATAGTAAATGATTTTTAGTGAAAGAATATGAAAACCTAGCTCTCCAGAAATATTGAATTATTTTTCCAAAAAATGATTGGAAGATTTTATCCAAAAAAAAAAAAAATATGAGAAAGACCATAATCCATTAGTGTGAAATCCATAATCTCTACACATTTTAAATTAAACCATACAATAATAAAATAAAATAAAATAAAAAGTTGGATAGGGGCGCTACTATTAAAGGTGTGCCACTTTTTCAAAGGAATTATAACATATTGTTAATGCAAGTAGACAATTTCCTCCATTCTAAATAAATAAATAAAAAATAGACAATTTCCTAGTTTTTAATGCAAGTTGGGATGGATTGTTTTAGCATGAATTTTAAACTTTAACATCTTAAGTTTAATTTAATTTAATAATGCATTTAGTTTAAGTTGATATATAATATTTATGTACTTTGAAGCTATGCACTTTTTAAAAAGGGTTAAACTATAATAAGTTCTACAATTTTAATATAATTATGTTTATCTTTATTTTAGTAAGACTAAATGAATTAGAAGTAATACATAAGGATAAATAAGAAGAAAAAAAAAATAAAACATCTATTTTCAATATATTTGAGGAACGGATTATTGATACAAATAGAACTAAATATTTTATAAATTAAAATCTTAAGAGAGTTCATTATAATTAAGCCAAAATTATAGGATTTCTTGTATTTTTTTCAAATTTTAAAGGAGATCAGTGTAATTTATCATTTTTTAAAAAGAAATTATATCATGTACATATATATATATTTGATAATGTGGTGTCTGGCTCAGTTTGCGCATATCTCAACTAATCTCAGGACTTTTACTTAACGACTGGAAAAACCTCCGATAACCTTTTAGGATGAATTGAATTCAAAATTTTGAATTTTATCATCAAATTTTTACTGCTACTAAACTAATATACTAAAAAATATGTTTATATATAATTTGTGATTTGAAAATTATCTTGTGATGTATCTTTTAAAGACTTAAATTTGTGTGATGGGGTCACACTCAAAATAAATATTTACTTTATTTTTAACTTGACTTGTGAAACACGGATATCTTATTTATATTTGACTTCTCAGCATATAGACTTATTAAATTAATATTGTTTTGATCTACTAAAGCATAAATATATGTAATGTGTTTGACTTCTCTGAATATAATATTATTTTGATATACTAAAATATAAATATATATATCATTTTTTTTGGGTGAATAATATATATCATTTTGTGTTTAACTTCTGTACACATAAATTTATTGATATGGTTTGATATACTAAGAGCATCTCCAACGGTAAACTTCTTTTTTCACCAAATTTGAGTAAAAAATAACTCATTTCACCAAATCTGATATCACTAGCTCCAACGGTGCATCAAATCCCGTGGAACAACCGGTTGGTCGACCGGTAAGTGTAAATTTTTTTATTTATTTTTTATTTTTTTACCCTTTTGAACTGTTTGAACCCACATTTGTGAACCGGGGAAAGGGGCGACCGGTTGGTCGACCGGTCAGCCAAATTTTTTTTTTTTCCCTCCATTTCTATTCCCAATTCTTTTTCCTATTTCTGTTTCCCTCCATTACATATATGTCTGGCATATGGATTATGTTCTCATATAAACCCATTATCCATATGCCAAACAACTCCACACAACTGATACGATCATAGCTTAAACAAAACAGAGCATAATGAATACCTTCAAATTCAAATCCATGATATTGACTTCATTTTCATCCTCTTCTTCTTCCTCTTCCTCTGATGATGAGGCTGATGATGATGAATATATCGTCACACTTTTAGGAGCTTATGAGTAGAATAATACTAGTATGCTTCAGATTCTTAAGTCAAGTGATAGCTCAAAGAAAATAGGTGGTTCTGTTGTAGGTCATAGATATATACACAGAGATAGCATATTAAGGCAACACATTCATACAGAACTGTAATTCATACAACATATTCACTATTGACTTTTAGGGTAATTAAAAAAACATGTAATATGAAAATAACATGTAATTAGTATGCATATTGAAATATGGTAATGTTTTTCCATTTTAATATGCATTGTAATATTAAAACTATATTCATTTGAAATTCAACAGATTTTGACATCATGCCTAGAACTAAAAGAGCGAGAGCACAAGTTAGTGAAAGTTCCAACCCTCCATGACGCGAAGAACAATAGCCTCAAATTCAGTCATATCCTACTGATGATTTTCTCAGTGAAAGTCATGCACTAGCCTTTCCAAACTTCTCTAGCCGACCGATTGTAACAGGGAGGAGGGTAAATCTTCCATCTCAATATGATGCACTATTAATTAGTAAACTTGAAGCAATGGGATGGCTAAACTTAATTAATTTGCCCTAAAAGGTATATCCACGGCTGGTATCTCTATTTTATGTTCACCTAAGAGGTACTCAGGAAGAAGATGGAAATTTTACTCTTTTGTCATATGTGAAAGGAAATGGTATACAGTTTGATTTTCCTACTTTGGCAAGCATTATTGGAGTTGAGTTAGGTGATGAAAATATTCATTTTCAGACTGAGGCTGAGTTAGCTAATATCGTTGGTAATCTACTGATGTCTATACTATTATTTGTCGGAACAGATTTACTGGGACTAGTTTACA